TTTACTTCCTTCCCTCCCTCCCTCCCTCCTCCCCCTCCCTCTCTCTCTCTCTCTCGCTCTCTGCTTGCTCGCTTCTTCCTTTTTCCTGTCCTTTTTCCGCGTGAAACGCGTTCCGGTCGAACGAGGCAGGGAAGCGCCGTGGAAGTTCGCGTACTTTCCCGAGCGAGCTCGTGATTTTTTGGAACGCGATGTTTCCGTAACGATGATAAATAGATAAATAGGTAGATTGCTAGATGTTACGGATTTGCTTTCTTAATTAGTGCGTACGGAACACCAATGCAGCGGAGATGTACCGCTCGCGCGCTGCAATTATTTTATTCGAATATAGGATTGAATTCAAAAATAAAAGAGATGATTTATCGCGCGTCTTACTGATGAAATAATATTGAGACTTGCAAACGAAAATTTTATCCTTTGTCTCGATAGGTCTTGTATATCTTGTACGACATAGAATGGTGATTGATCGCGGAAAGAGAATATAAATGATAACTTTCCTTCATTTAATTTATTGTTAATATAATCGCGAAATTCCGTGGCTTTAATTCAGTGGCTTTAACGAAATATGAAATAAAGTCATCACCGCACCGAATCCGCGGTGTCTGGGATTCCGAAAGATTTGTCACCGACATATGTCAGCCACCCTCGCGGGAAACAGCCGCAGAGGAACATAGAAACTCTTCGTTCGCGAAGACATATGTAGCGCACGTTCGTCTGCGGAGAAAGAATTCTTTATGGACGCCTCGTAGAGGCTCGTATATTACCGCATAATCGTAAAGGCTTAAGCGCAATGCGGCCGGCTCTCCTTCACCGAGAAACCCGGTTGAAACTACGGACGTTGCGTTTCCTTTCCGGCTATCTCTTCACCATCTTCTCCTGTCTTCGCCTCCCACCCCCGCCTCCTCCTCCAAGTGTTCGCGTTATTCTCCGGCTCTTCGCGGGAGGATTTCACGGACAGTTCGGTCGCACGTAAAAGATGAAACGCCAGCGGGAGAAGCAGACGGCGGGAGGTCTCAAGGCAGGAAGCTGCCTTGTGAATTTTTCAGTCCGCGATGAATTACCTCTGATAGCAAGTCCGGACGCAGAGCACGAGAGGTCCTCCTATAAGGACGGATGGGCAGATGGTTCGCGCGAATTGTAACAATTCGACGAGGCACTGCGTCTGCGGGCATTACGCATTTATCGCGAGCGAAACGAGCTGAGGTGAGTGGCGAAAGCGATTGATTCTTGAGACGATCGCTTTGGGCAAAATTCGAGCGAGGGATAAATTTAACGAAAGTCCGGCAATCGAGGAGGAATCGAAAGAATTTTCGGATTCGTCATTTTCGCAACAGATCGATCGTTTGACGTCTTTTATAGTAATCCTTTTTTTTAAATACAAATTGGATTTTACACGAATTATTATTGTGCAATTTTAAAAATGTTTTCAATAATATCTAATGATTCATTAAATTATACTGTGGAGAATATATCAAAAGATAGCATGCTTTTGAAACTCTAGCGCGATGATCCATCATTACTAAGAATTAACGTAAAGACTTAATTTGCATCTTAGACGCCACCTCCTTTTGTAAGTTTTATGGATCCGGCAAATTACACAGTTGAGCACTATGGTAACGCGGAATGCACTAGAACGTTTCACAGATAGAAGAAAATATATACAATTAAATATTCATTTCTTCATACGACAAAGCATAGCTGACCAAAGTGTTGTTTCAGACTTCAAAAATGTAATATCTCGAAACGCATAAAAAAGGGGAAAAGAGAAGCCTTTTTCGCGCGTTGTATCTTTTTTTAACTTTAAAACTTTTGAGCACATGCAATTTCGGAATTTGAGATGAAACAGAGAAAATATCATATTCACAGTTTTACGAGTGATGCTGGCTGCAGTTATTGTGTCATTCGCGACAGGAAAATCCAGGGTCTCATCATTATGCCCCGCGTCTGGATGTACCATTTTCCTCTATATTTATGAAGGCTAACTTTCCTCATCGCGAAACATTTGCGGCCACAATCTCTTTCGCGAGACGTCCTCGACAGGACGCAATATCGCATCGCGAGTACAAACATGCATATATGGCTTGCATAACACGCGCGATATTACACAGAATTCATAAGAAAGTCCAGGGCTTTCGTCATTGCGCCCTGCGCAAAAAATGCTCCCGCCGTAATGTCATCATCGTAAAAACCGACCAGTTATAAATAATTAAATTTCGCCGTACAAAATATTATTCGTTAACTACGCTATTACAATTAATCGTTCCATGTGCGCGACAAACGCTTTCGCACATCTTGCTCGACGAGCAAGATGAATTTTCGGGCATGCATCTTCGACCGGAGAGAGCATTGGATTTTTTTTCCGGTTATTTAGACTAATTAACGACTGATTATTTCTTACTATAGCTAGAGCGTATATTATTATTCCTAACTCACCTGATAGTCCATGTAATTCCCATAGCCCATGTGGTTGCATGTGCAGGCGCATGCCTGAATGTGCCTCCGCATGTCGAGTTCGACCTCCTCGCCGCATACGCCTCTGCTCGTCGCCATCATCGTATCTCCCATGCAATAGCCGCCGGTGCAATACATTCTCGGGTCACTCTGATCCAGGTAACCCCCACCGGTGTCGTCGTATCCGAGCCCGCTGGCGCACCTGGAATCCGAGGCGTATCCCACTCGGGACTGAGGACGTTCCTCGTAGCCCAGTCTAGACTGGGACCGGTGGAATGTCGAGGATACATCCTGAAAGAAAAAGAAGGATTGTTCTGCAACAAATCACTTAGTACCTCCGCCTCGATTGCGCCAGAATTAGCGGTTGGCAGTTCGTAATTGGTGCCGGAATCCACGGAATTGCAATATTTTTTCATCAAACAATTTTCACATGCGAAGGCGTGTCGATTTTTTTAATTATTCGTGATCAAACGTTAATACGTGGTAATTCAATTATGGATTTGTACTTATTTTCAAAAAAAGTTTCTAACATAAGATATATTGTTCTAATTCTATAGAAATAATTATATTTGTGTTTAAAATCCGATATGTTTTAAATCCGAAAACGTTAATTTTTAGTAAAAAATTTTAATAAAATTGTTTACAAATGATAAATTATTGAATTTTCTGCGTATGCGATTTTTGAACCTATAACGCGCAGACTTCGCTTTTGTGTCACGTTTGAAATCGCACAAATATGATTTGTTCAGCGTACAATGAAAATGCATACAATCAAACATAATTCCATGTTTGTTGATTTCAGTATTGTGTTATATATCGGTTAAAACAAATGGCATATATATTCTATGTATTTGATAGAAAATTTAATTGGTTTTATGTATAGAAAATATTGGAAATAATCTAAAAATAATATTCTTTTTATTAAAATATTGCGGAAAAAATACTGCAAATTAAACTGTGATAAAAAATAAATTACTCTGTCACCAACGATTATCGATATGTGATTAAAGTATTTCTGCGTTTCTAGTATATTATGTATTTGTCGGAAGCAATTTGATTAATCCGTCCTCATAAACGAGATACCGTTTACTAACCAAGACATGCCAAGAATCTCCCGGAATATGAAGAAATTTAATATTCGAGACGTACGGCGAGCATTTAGAATTTGAAAAGAATCATCTTAATGCAGCACAAAGGCGGAATGCGTTGGCGTAGGAATTGCAATTGCGTAAGGGGGTGTATAACGTGCCAATCGCATTTGCGGATAGAATCTTTTCGCCAGAATACACAAAATTACCCGCTATGCGGTTCAATTATAGCCTTTTTATTTACAGATCAGAAAAAAAACGACATTTTTGTTGTGTGTGTGTGTGTGTGTGTGTTTGTGTGTTACGCATAACTTTGAATCTCAATAATGATATAAAAAAAATTCTCTCTTTTTTCTTTCATCGTTACTTAAGATTAATTTTCATTTAATTAATTCTTAAAGAAAAAAGTCGATAAAATAAAATGTAATATATACGATAATTATTTATTAAAGTCAATCATAAACTTGAATCTACTTCGTATTTACAGATTTATTTTATTGTTTTCTCAAAAATATGAATTAAAAAAAGAAAAGAATACTTATTTATAAATTTTTATAGAAAATTGTATCTTTTAGAAGAGAATATTTTGTTTTTGATATTTAAAATTTACTAGACGCGCACAATAATAATAATTTTTCTTCTTGGAATTTCAATTACTTTGGACGTTGTAACATGAATGTATTTGTGTTTTCAATTCAACATAGTGGTTTGCAATATAGTTTACAACTCCGCTGTTAGATATTATATCGTGAACGACAAATTAACTTTTATTTTAAATTAAGGTAATGGATCTGTGAAAGTGTTGTTAGATGTCATATGTAAATGTAAGTAAATATAAATATATATATATATATATATATATGCATTAGATGTAACACGATAGAAGATAAAAAAGTATAATAATACAAAAGTATAGCATTTCACAGATTCATTGCCTTAAAATTAATTGGTTAAAACAGATTAAGATTTATTTAAAATAAATAAATATTTATAATTTCTTGATTTATTGTTTGTACAAACACACATGTATGCGTTTTTTTTCCAGATTTAAATAATATAATAAATTGATGCAAGATAATGGTACACAGCACATGGAGTTGTTTTTTCAGTATTTATGTCTGTTGCACCGCAAACAGAAACATAAAATGGATAGAAAATTTTTCATAGTGCATAGTGCATTTCATTCTGCATAGTGTTATGCAGAATTTCACAATTAATTAATTTGAAAAGTTGTTGACGATTAATTAAATTTATTTTCGCATCTCTTTTTTATCCTAATCCTAATAGGCTTTCTATCCTTTCAAATTTATTGATTATTTTATCGATTATAGATTAAAAATAGTAATATCTGTAGAAATAATATAAGCTGCGAGCCTTTATTCAATGTAGTCGGCTAGCTTTAAGCTCATCGCTTATCAGAAATTATTGTGGTTTTAACATTTGCATATTGGAAATTCCAATTCTAATTGATATAATCCGATATTATAATCAAGAATACGCTTAAATTAAAATATTAAATAATGATTATAGAACATTCCCCGTAGAGTCTGTATATTGCTTAAACGGAAACTGGTAACGTTCCAAATTTTCAGCAAACCTAATTACTTTATATAAATTATATTAATATATATAAATTATTTTACATATATATTTTATCCAAAATAACTTTTATTATAAATTAGATATTTAAGATTGGCATTGCTGTGTTTTTGTTATGTGAATACGCACCGTTATTTCAAATATGATTTATATAAAATACCGTCTGGGAATTGTGGATTATGTGTGTCGTAGCTTAAGGGAGAAAATATGAAAAAAAATAGGAACTTTACTCGTCGTGTTTATCTCTTGTTTATTCTTTCGATACATTCGCAGTTACCGCGATTGCGCGTGGCAGTACTTGATGGCTTACGAGCTACCATATTCCGCGGTATGTTGCCGCATCGTTCGATATGGACGGCGGCACGACCGCCAGCGCGAATCGCGCGGTTCTCTATCGCCGCTATCTTTATGCTGCACACCAATGCGGTTCCCCGTAACAGTAAAGTATCGATATCGCTAAAATAACCGGAACGTATGTATGGTCTTTGAAGCAGAAGGCCATATACACGGCGCAGGATCCTGAAATTCACCTAGTAACGTTCCGCCGTCATCGCTATACGATTCCGAACGATAGAGACTGTAAGAGCACTTCGCTCCTTGCGATTTCACGAGAGTCTTGAATGCGTCGCGATCGATAGTGACGATTTCTAGAGATTTGCTGCCACTTCCTCGAAGGTTTTTTTTCAAACTCTATCAGATTCCACGAGATGACACGTTACGCATTGCGCGCTCAATTTCTTATTCGGATAGAAATTAAACTAAAGAAAAATTATAACGAGATAACTCCAAAGTTACTCTTGAAAAATTCTTTTGTTTTATTTTAAACTCGATCGATTCTTCTTCTAGTCGAATTGTTTCTTTTCTCTAAAATTTAAAGATGGCTTTGTTACTCTATTTTTTAATAAATTTTTTTTTGTTAGAAAAGGAAGTATAATAAGATAGAGCAATTGAATTAAATAGGAAAGGTGCACGTTGGTGAATGGTTGAAAAATCCTATCCGCGACGACATTGTCTCATAGGGAACATCGAGGAATAGACAGACGATCGGCACGTGATCGCTTTGTATACGCGTTATGCATCCGCGAAATTGCGCCCATAGGCGATGCTGCTCGCGGCTAGCGATGTTGAAATTTAATAGGATATCAATACTTTTACTTTTTGATATAAAATACCGCAAGTATCGGCATTTTCTACATACTCGATATTTCATTCATAAATATTGATATTGATGCCGATCCATGATACGCAAGAGGCGGCAGAGATCCACTGAGCAATCACAAATGCAAGCGATGAAAATCGACGCAACTTGACGCATCTTTATTCAATACTTTGATCGCACCGATTTTACCCCCTTCGCTCGCTCCGCCATTCGATTGTATGATATAATAAAAAATAATTCACCGATGATAAAAATACTCGGTGCAGAAAACAAAATATCGATATTGTCCACGTTCCATTTCGCGCGGCAATTAATTCAGCCTAATAACCCCGATTTTATCCTCGATTTAGCATCGTTTTCGCGATCTCGCGAACGGGAACTGCCTTCGTCGAATCGATAGCCCGTACGGATGCTCGCATGGCAAAATTTGGACAGCCGAGGCGCGCTGAGCCGAATCAATTTTCGGATACGGAAAACTCGTAATGGCTCTTCGAAGATTCCCGCGGCGAAGTTAAAGCGGGATCCTGCCGAACTTGAACGGGCGAAGACGAAACTCGTGACTGCGCGGCTATTAGGCACCCCCTCCCCCCCCCTCTCACTGGATGAGACTGTCCGGAGATGGACGTCGAGGCTCATCTCCTTTTCTCACGAGCACCGCGTTATTGAACGCCATCGAGTTGGCGGGAAAGAAAAAAAAAAAAAGGAAAATAAGCTCGCTGCGATAAACGATACGATGCTTTTAGCGATGGCGCTGCATTAAACTTCGATTTCGGAATATTTCGAGGAGCGCATTCTTTTTCTGCTTTACATTCCGCCCGGGAAGTTCTAATTGCAGTTGTTTGTCTTCCGCGTTGCGACAGAATATACAGAGCATTCAGAAATTGTGGGCGGAAGATTTAGAGGCGCATTCTTTTGAGCTCAGTGCATTTTTATTGGGCGACATTTAAAGGCACTCGGTATCTTATTTTATCATTTCGCGTTTTAGCCGCTAATTTTTTTGCACCAAAAAAGTTGCAAATTTACAAATGACAATTTTCGGTAAGCGTATTTTATGTTTTCCCGGGGAAAAGCTGCAATGATAATTCTTCTCGTCTCGCGCGTATATTGCGGTACGAATTGCTTCTCATAAATATAACTTTTCTTGCATCTTTAATATCAGAAAAGGCCAGGGTGTTTTCATGCATGAAAAGTTCTCGCGATTCGTATTACCGATAGCGACCGTTTCAATTCGCTGAATCACGATCTTAAAGTCTGCCCTTTCCGCGCTAACTAAGCTCCCTATTTCTCTAGAAGCAGCAAATTCAATTCAATTTTCGCCATTCGATAATCATAAATACTAGACTCGAGCGGTTCGTTATAAAATGGCGAACTCATTCGGTTCTACTGGATAATTATCGTGTAATATTCGCACCTGGAGGTGATATCAAATTTAATCGACATCGATTTGTGCAGTGGCATGCCGTACCATTGAAACTCGATGCGAACAACCGATGTTAATCGCATCAAAATAAATTATATAATGTTAATTTTAGCTTATGACGATGTAAAACCAAATTCTAGTTTTCTTGAACATCTTTCCAATGAAAAACCCTTTATTTATACACGAAGGTATAAACAAAACGTATGAATGGGGCGTATTCGTTTGCACTTTGTAAATATGTTTCGTAACTGTTCCCAGAAGTTAAATTTTATCTAGTTATTCCATTACAACTCATATTTATTCGTACGTAACTTGATGGATACATCAAGAACATAGTACATAACTGTAATGTAATTCCAAGCGAAAAGGCTGTATTGTTTGAATTTTTTTAAGCAATTAGAGTTATACGGTAATACCTGTACACAAATCAGTCTGTTGTACTAGCTAAAAGTTTACACCTCGTTTGTATATTTTTGTATACAGCTGAATGCAGTAACGATATACAGCATTCAACGATCAAATTTCTCTGTAATATTTAAGAGAAAAATGTTTCTCTTCGTTATATGATTTACTAAATACTTTTACACAATTGTCTCGAATGTTCCGTGCTCGTATAGAATAGAAAATAAATTGCACGTACACATAGAAAAATACAAAAATATTGTATTTGACTAAATATTACTCGTTTCAAATAATTCAAAAGTTCATATGTCCGCAAATCTATCATAAGCATCAAATTTATTCAAATATAATCTGAATCTTAATAAGTATAATATTACTTAATAATACTTAAATAAAGAATATCACATTAAACTAAAAAATCAATTTGCTTAACTAAATATGATTGTTCTTCGGTAAAATTTTATAATACTCTTTAGAAGAAAATAAATTTTTTTTAATACAGAAATTTTTTTCTAAATTTATGATATTAATTAATAAAATTTACCTGTAAATATATTTTAACACTATTTTCGAGAAAATATTCTTTGAGGTAACCATTACTCGAAAGAAGAAAAGTAAACTGAAAAGTAACTGAATAATTACTTTTCTTAGCAATTTAGAATTTTCTTTGAATTTTATTATATTTAGACTTTTTTTAGAATTATATTTTTCCGCGTGTAAGGGTCGTGAAAGATCGCAAATCTCACACGGATCCTTACACACGGAATGTACCGGATATAATTAATCGATTGTAATCTGTACCTGAGGATATTGCTCCTCCTGATACGGTATCCTGCGATGGCACTCGTCGTAACACCTGGCGTCGTAGCCGCTGGGCGGCCGTGGATACGAATCCTGCGCCGCTACCGCGGCCGCGCAGCAGTCCGGGATTTGCGCCTGGTAGCTCTCGTAGGGACACTTCGGATCGGGCTGGACCGTTCGCGGAGCCTGGTGAACGCGCTCCTGCGGCCCGCCTCCGTAGCCGGCGCCACCGCCGCCGACGACGCCGCCACCGCTACCGCCACCGCCACCACCACCGCCGCCGCCACCGCCGCCGCCACCGCCGCCACCGCCGCCACCGCCGCTTCCACCGCCGGCGTGATGCATCGTCGTTGTCCACTCTCGTGGACCTCCTCTCACCTGACCTCGCACCACACCACCACCACCCTCCCCCGATCACTGCATCCTAATCCCGCGTGGCGCGCGATACGCGATCGAGTCCGCGGCCTCGGCGTGCCTCGTCTCTGTCGCGCGGCCCTCTTCGCACGGGTCCATCCTCACCACGCCACCACACCGTGGACCTTGCGCACTTTCTTCTTCTCTACGAGCA